CTCTTCATATACCCAAATGCTATCAAATACACCTACCATTAAGGGACTATTCCATTGGTTCTCAACTCAGGAGCACTTAGAAATGTCTGGACACATTTCTTTGTAGTCATAAATCATGGGGTGCTACTGGCACCTAGTGGATAGAGGCCAGGGATGCAGCTAAAAATCTTAAAAAGCACAAGACAGCTCACCCACAAAAAGCTGGAATTTAAAAAAAAAAAAAAAAGTCAACAGTGCCAAGGCTGAAAAACCGTAGGCCATGACAAAAAGCATAGATGCAAAATCCTCCCTGATCCATCCTGACAAGCCAGACGCAGTTCCTGCTATAGAGGCTAGCAATAGGTGACCATTTTCGTGGCCCCAAAAGTTTGGCACCTGTGCTACACCTCCCCTACCTCTATCAGCTCCCGTAATCCACTAAAACATGAAGACAGACCTCGGAGTTCTTAGATGTGCCAGTCTTGCACTTTGCTACCAGTTCTAAGTATTTTAAGGGAAGTGGTTAGAATTAATAGTAAAAACTAGATTTGGGTATTAACCGTTTATTATCCATACTAACCCACTGTCCATTATCACACATAATTGAAGCGTGGCTCTATTCGTAGCAGAAATACACAAATTTATGATTCTCATGAGTTTTAGTCTGTGAATAGGGAGGCCCAAGAAGAAGGCCTGGCAGTCAAGATAGAGCTGAGCTTATGTATTGGTGGAAGAAGCTCCCAGGTACCTGCAATTCAGCCTAAGAAGAGCATGCAGACATTTCTGATGTGAGAAATAATTAGCACAGCTCCTTAATCTGAACGATGTAACCACAGCATTCATCCAATTATAAGTTAAACTGAAGCATGTTTATCAGACTCTAACTGAAGGCGAAGTCAACAGGCCATAGTGGCCAGGAGTTAGGAGGATCAAGTCAGATGTAATCAAGGCCTCATGTCTACTACAAGAGAAAACTGGCTATACGCGACAAACAGGAACAAGCAAAGCCCTCCTTGGGCCACAGAACCCTGGGAGTCCTTGGTGGCATCCAAACCATAGACAGCAGACCTGGGTTTCCTCCAGCAGCAGCAGTCTCCACCACTTACTAATTAGTGTCATTGTTTTAATCACCATAATGAGTAGTCCAATTCTATTCCTCTCCCAGCACATCAATGCACAAGACAGAAAGCTGAGTCAAAATCAATCACAAACACATTCATTTTTAAACACTTTCAGAAACTGGGAAAGAAAATGGAGGTTTCTCCATGCCGTGGTACCTGGAAACTAACTGGAAAACCTGAAGGTGTCCATACCTTGCAGAACTTCAAAACCTAAATAAAAAACAGAACATACATACTTGCAAACTCACGCACACATTTGCACCTGCCCTTTAAAAAACAACAACAACAAAAACAAAAATAAAAAACCAACACTGGCTAAGTGACTCCTAAAGGCAAGATTCCAGAAACCCACAACTAACATCATACTCAATGAAGGGAAACTGAAAGCTCTTCCTCGAAGATCAGGAACAAGATAAGGATGTCTTCTCTCACCACTTTTATTCAACATAGTACTGGAAGTGTTAGAGCAATCAGACAAGAAATAAAAGACATCCAAATTGATAAGGAAGAAGTAAAACTGTCACCAATGGCAGATGACATGATGCTACAGAAAACCCTAAAGACTCCACCAAAAAATTATAATAAATGAATTCAATAAAGCTTCAGAGTCCAAAATATACAGAAATCTGTTGTATCTCTATACACTAATAACAAAGTAGCAGAAAGAGAAATTAAGAAAACAATTTCATTTACAATTACACCAAAAAGAATAAATTACAGAGGAATAAACTTAACGGAGGAAGTTAAAGGCTTGTACTCTAAAAACTACCAAACACTGATGAAGGAAATCAAAGATGACACAAATGGAAGGCTATATCACACTCAAAGAATGGAAGAATAGTGTTAAATGTCCATTTTACCCAAAGCAATCTACAATTCAATGCAATCCCTATCAAAATACAAATAGCATTTTTCACAGAAGTAAAACAAGTAATGCTAAAATTTGTATGGAATCTCAAAAGATCCTATAGAGCCAAAGCAATCTTGAGAAAGATAAACAAAGCTGGAGGTAACACAATCCCAAATTTCAAGATATACTACAAAGCTAGAATAATCAAAATGGTATGGTCCTGGCACAAAAAGAGACACATAGATCAAAGGAACAGAATTGAGAGCTCAGAAAAAAAACCCACACTTCTATGGTCAATTAATCTACGACAAAGGAGGCAAGACTATATACAGTGGGGGGAAAAACAAGCTCTTCAATAAATGGTGCTGGGAAAACTGGACAGCTACATGCCGGAAAATGAAACTAGACCACTTTCTTATACCATACACAAAAATAAACTCAAAATAAACACCTAAATGTGAAACTGAAACCACTGAAGTCCTAAAAGAAAACAAAGGCCATAATCTCTTGGACATCAGCCTTAGCAACATTTTTCTAGACATATCTCCTTAGTCAAGGGAAACAAAAGCAACAATAAATTACTGGGATTACACCAAAATAAAAAGCTTTTGTGCAGCAAACGAAACCATCAGAAAAATGAAAAGGCAACCTGAATACTGAATGGGAGAAGATATTTGCAAATGAGATCTCTGAAAAGGGGTTAGTATTTAATATTATATAAAACTTACACAATTCAACATCAAAACAAAATAATGTGATTAAAAAATGGGCAGAGGATTGAATAGATGTTTTTTTTCCCCAAAGAAGACATCCAGATGGCTAACAGTCACGTGAAAAGATGCTCAACATCACTGGTCATCAGGGAAATAAAAATCAAAAGCACAATGAGATGGCTGTCAGAATGGTCACTGTAAGAATCTGGAGCCCAGCAGAAAATGGGTTTCTGAGAAGCACGGGGAAGGAGGAGTCAGTTACAGAGGAAAAAACAGTAAAATAAACTAGCATGCTTATAATGACTGCCCCGCCACCACCAAACACACCTAAGACCTAGAAGCAGAGGACACTGTTTACCCATACCAAGGAGTCACAATGTTGGGAGAGAGGCAAGACCAAGAGTCAAGGTGGAAGACGTTCTAAAATATCCAACTGACCAGAGAATAAGAAAGGCCAGAAGCCTGTTGACAGATTTTAGAATACTACTGAATAGAAAATATTTTTTAATGGCACCTGGGTGGCTCAGTCATTAAGCGTCTGCCTTTGGCTCGGGTCATGAGCCCAGGGTCCTGGGATCGAGCCCCGCATTGGGCTCCCTGCTCCGTGGGAGGCCTGCTTCTCCCTCTCCCACTCCCCCTGCTTGTGTTCCCTCTCTCGCTGTCTCTCTGTCAAATAAATAAAATCTTAAAAAATATATATATATTTTTTTAAATACAAAATATCTTATGAAATACTTAACATAAAAATTACAAAATATGACTATAAGACTGAATAAGCAGCTATACATTAATCCCCTTTCTATTCAACTCATTCTAACATCTTTGGAGACCATCTAGGATATGACATATTGGCACCAAAAAGGGGAAGAAGGAAAAAAAAAAGATTAAGATTTTATTTATTTTGACAAAGAGAGAGAGAGAGACAGCGAGACAGGGAACACAAGCAGGGGGAGTGGGAGAGGGAGAAGCAGGCTTCCCGTGGAGCCGGGAGCCCGATGCGGGGCTCGATCCCAGGACCCTGGGATCATGACCTGAGCCGAAGGCATAGGCCTAACAACTGAGCCACGCAGGCGCCCCCTCAAGCAGATTTCTATATTGTGATGAAATCTGTAATGGATAAACTCTTAAGAATTTGATTTCAGGGTTATCTAAGGGCAACTTATTTCCTATCTAGAGTCCCAATTATAGCAAAAAAAAACAAATTTTTAACCCTCCTCACCAAATATTTATTAAATGTCTATGTTCAGGGCTTGAAAAAGAACAAAACTGCTACTCAAAGAGGGATCACTGGGCTAGCAGCATCAGCATCACACCCAACTCCAGACCTTTAGAATCTGAGTCTTCCCGTTAGCATGATCTCCATAATGTGATCTGCACATTAAAGTCTGAGAAGTACTGGTTCAAAGAATTCAGAAAGGTGACACCATAGACCAAGGCTGAACCAAATCTAACCACCATTCTGCCAAATTTATGCTCTTCCTATCAGACAATATGGCTCTCAGGAGTTCTGCCTGCAAAATCCACACATCAGTCTCATTAGACTGGTGGCTCTCAACCAGGGCAGACTGGGCCTCCAAGAGGACACTTGGCAATGTCTGATAACATTTTTGTCACAACGGGCGGGAGGAATAGGTGCTACTGGCATCTAGTAGATAGAAACCAAGGATGCTGTTAAACAGCAGAAAAAGCAGTCCTCCACAACAAATAATTACCTGGCCAAAAATATCAAAAGTGCAAAGGTTTTAAAAAAAAGAAAAAAACTAAAACAAAAACACTTCCTTGATTTTCTGACTAATATAATCAATCAACTTCAGTAATTTAATGAACTGATTTGAGCATCCATATCCCATGGGGGAAAAAATAAACCAGTAATTATGAACACTTCCCATCCAACACTCCATAGAGTGTAAGGTTCCCTCAAGTGCTCATACCAGGGCTGCCTGGGTGGCTCAGTCAATTAAGCATCTGCTTTCGGCTCAGGTCATGATCCCAGGGTCCTGGGATCAAGCCCCGCATGGTCGAGCCCCGAGCCGGAGCCTGGCATTGTCGGGCTCCATGCTCAGCAAGGAGCTGCTTTTTCTTCTCCCCCTGCCCCGCCCCCCAGCTCCTGCTCTCACTCACTCAAATAAAATCTTAAAAAAAAAAAGAGTTCATACCAAATCAATAATCATCAACACTGACAACCAAGACCAATACAGTAAAACAACAAAGGTACATGTTGTAATATTTCATAATTATGCAAGCTAAATTCTAAAAATACATTGCTACCATATATTACTTGGGCAATAAAAACATTCTGGTCTTCACTTAATTCTTCATTTTTCTCCTACCATACAGGATCATTAGTGAAGGAACACTATGGCCACTTCAAGATGACAAGCACACACTGGACTAAATTGTTTCACTGAAACGAAACCTTCTACCAAGAAAAGAAAAAAAAATTAAGGTAATTAAAAAGACTCTCTAGTATCATCAAGAGCTTCATTAATTTTATGAAATTTATGAATGAATACTTCCTCTTCTCCAGAGAAAGTAGAATTAAGACACTCAGAATGGTGGAAGAAGATGGTCCATATGTAAGAGAAATAGAGGTCAGTGTGTATACTTAGACAAAAGATGAGTACTGAGCCTCAGGCTGACTAAGCATGTTTTTATTAAGCTGAATGTTTCTGGAGTGACCATTGCTTTGTATGGCCTGTATCAACTAAATTCTGCCTAGAGAGAGCACCCAGAGGTTATATGTAATTCTCTACACTTTGAAAGCACTTAAAAGTGCCACAATCCTGACTTTATATTGTGCTAAGGAATAAGGGCACTCACTTTAAATTAGAATGAATCTGTGGCACTTAGCCACAGTTCTAGCTGTGCAGAAAGACTGAGAGAAAGCAATTTATGTGCTCCTATTAGACTTTAATAGCTATCTTTTGGTCTCATGAATCCCATCCTGCCATGTTCTTTAATTATGTTACCAAAAGACCCAAGTGATGGAATAAATTAAAATATTCCATGCCTTTCATTGTCCTTTACCTGATTTGTGGGACAAGGAAGAGCCCCACCTACAAGAAGCTAAAGACATACTCTTAAGTGCCCCTTTTTAGAAAGTTCTGCCACATATAGAAATCTTTCTTCAAGGTAGTCTCAAGAACTTAGGAAGCATTGTTTACTTTCCTGAATCTTTCACTACAGAAATTCAAGATAAACTCAAAAATTCAAGATAAACCTACATGATCAGGGCTGGCTACACCTCCACAAACTGGCTCACCAGAGCACACACTTTTTGGCTGATTGTCATCCAAAAATCTTTTCCCCCTTTGTTTTTCTTCCTTTGCCTATCTCTCATCTTTAACAGGCTGGGACAAGCTGCTTAGAAAGAGTGAACCAACCAAGAGCCTGGGACAGAAAAGGGAGAGTAGTTGGATCACACGAAGACATTCTTTGTTTTCTTTCTGATTCACTTGGTTCTTATTTTTGCATCATTGTATAAAACCAGCATCAATATGTGACTATTTCCTCCATTTATGAAATGATTTGAAGTTTTGGTTAGGGCCCTTCATCAGGACATTAAATCATCTCTACAGTAAAGATAAGGAGAGAAGCCTGGGCAGATGTTACAAGGTCAAAGTGATACAAACAGGTCTCTGTTAGGATCTTGTCCTGTTTTTCATCCAACACATATTCCTACATTTTGGTCTCAAAATACAATTGTCCTCACTTTCCATAGATGCCTCAAGATAGCTCTGTTTTCACACATCTCTCAATTTATCACTGTATAAAAGGCTGCCACACTCTGAGACACCAAGACCAAGTACAGTAAAACATGTACCTAGAGGACACAATGCCCTACCATAAACATTACTGCTCAAGAAAAGAAGTATTTAGGAACTTAAAAATTACTGCCAGAATTGTCTTGGGCTTACTTTTAGCTCATTCCTCAAGTGGAGTGTCCCTTTAATTTGTCTCTACTGTATCTAACCAAATAACAACACAAGCAACAGTGATACCCTGCTCTTTTCCCAACCAGCATGTATCAAACCTTTCTATCCTAAAACAGAGACTCTTACCCGTGATTGTTTCAAAACAGGCCAAATTAGCAAGAAGGTCATTGAGGGGAAAGACCCAAGCAAGCCTTGAGTATTCACTCCATTTCAGAAGGCTCTTCTGCTCTAGAAGTTTACCTGGATCAGTCACCACCTCCATCAACCTCAAAGAGAGAGATGGGAGCAAGGAGGCAATAATGCACATCACAAGGGCATGTATGCTCAGATTCTCAACACTTTCAGGATTCAGAGAACACAGTTCTCTGGACCCATGACATCAGGCTATCAGGAAAGAAGACAAATTATTTAGTAGACACACTCTTTGCCATAGTGGACATTTAAAAATAGAAAATGTAGCCCCTTGGCTTACTATCTAAAATTTGAAACAGGTTATATAGACTTACAGAGATGCAAATGACTACAAAATATTATGATTAGAGCCAAGTGTGCAAGAAGTAAGATTTCCTTCCAAAGGAAGTGCAAGGAATGGCATAATCAAATGGCTAGAAGTACTTCCAGTGTTGCCATATGGTATGCATGAAGAAGAATACACAGAAGCAAGGTATTCTTGTGTAGGAAGTAGCATACCAAGTTTGCACATACGATTGTTTTATTTGGAATGTGAATGAATTTCATATTCCACATTTCCAAACTTAACTTTCTCACACTTTCGTCATTTTACTAACATAGCCGTTCACTCACTGTTTATAAAACACCGTGCTTGGTGCCAGAATACAAAGATGAACAAGACACATTCTCTGATCTCAAAAGAACCATTATCCTCTATAATCATTCTTTCCCATGATCCCTGACTACCTGTAAATTTCTTAAGAGCAACAATTCATGTCTTGAATTCCCAGATTGCATGTCCTTTTTATTTCACAAATATTTTAACTATCTCATGTCCTAAATATAATGCTAGGAGTACAATGGTAAAAAAAAATGACATGATCTCTCTATGAAGGGGCTTACCACAGGAAAAAAAAAACAAAAACAAAAACAAATGGATGGAGAAATGAGTGTTGAGACAGGAGAAAGGCACAGAACCAGGGGCACACATACAAAAGGACCTCACACCCAACCCACTCCAACTAAAGGGTAGGAGGGTCAAGTTTTCTAAAGGAAATGATATCCAACCTGAGCCTCAATGATGAAGAGAAGTTAATGAGCCAAGAAGGTAGCAAAAAGGTCTTCCACACAAATGAAAGCTTGTGCAAAGGTCAAAGGTAAGATAAATCATGAAACCTACGAAGGGACAGATGGGTTCAGGAACTCATCGCTGAGGATTAAGGAAGCAGGGATCATCAGACCAAGAAGGGACTTTGTCAGGTTAGCATTAAAGAGTTAGGACTTTATCCCGAGGCCAAGGAATGACCGCTTAAGGGTTTCAAGCAGGATGCTGATATTACATAAAAGATGGACAGTGAACATTTGCTTTGATGTATCAAATAATCTTTCAAAGAAGTTCTAATCTTCCCTGTGTTCTAAAATCAGTATGTCTGACATCAGAGAAGAATATACAAGATTCCCTAACAAAAGAAGGTTTTGGGTAATACTTAGGACACTGTTGGCCAATAAAAATATGATGCAAAATAATGTATGTAATTTTAAATTTTCTAGTAGCCATATTCTTAAAAAAGTAAAATTACATGAAAATAAAATATTTTATTTAATGAAATATTTCTAAAACATTTCGATAAGTAATCAATATTAAAAATACTGAGGTATGGGGCACCTGGGTGGTTTAGTTAATTAAGCATCTGCCTTTGGCTCAGGTCATGATCCCAGGATCCTGGAATCAAGCCCCACATCCACTGGGCTCATTGCTCACTGGGGAGTCTGCTTCTCCCTCTCCCTGTTTCTCCCTCTCCCTCTACCTGCTGCTCCCCCTGCTTGTGCATTCACACTCTCGTTCTATCAAATGACTAAAATCTTAAAAAAAATAAAAAATAAAAATAAAACAAAAATGTAAAATAAAAATATTTTACATTTTTTGGGGGGGGTACTAAGTCTGAAGTTCAGTGTGCATTTTACACTTACATCACATCTCAATCTGGACAGGCCACATTATGTGCTCTATAGCCACAAATGGTTGGTGGCTACCATATCAGAGTAGATCTAGAAAATACTTGGCAATTTTCTGGAATTTTTAAGGTACATTTATCATTTCTATTCATTTTCTACTTTATAAAAATAATGCAAATCAGTTTAATGGGAAAAAAAGCAAAGAATAACTCCATTTTGGAAGATAGTCATAATCCCATACCAGCTACATTTGGATGTATATTTTTATAGGACACATCCTATGTCCAAAACATATGTAAGATAGGCTTTTAAAAAGGTCAATATAAAGGTTAATACATCAAACAGCGTTCTGAATAAATGAAACAGATTGTTTTTACAGTTTTGTTACTTTTTGAGACAATATTTAAAGCGTACTTTCAGGGCACCTGGGTGACTCAGTCATTTAAGCGTCTGCCTTCCGCTCAGGTCGTGATCCCAGGGACCTGGGATCATCCCTGTATCAGGCTCCCTGCTTGGCAGGAAGCCTGCTTCTCCCTCTCCCACTCCCCCTGCTTATGTTCCCTCTCTCGCTATATCTCCCTCTGTCAAATAAATAAAATCTTTAAAAAAAAATTTTTTTTAATTCTTTATTAGACACCATAAGTGCTCTTTGAGTGACTACTTGACTTTGCTTCCCAGGCCTCCACCTCCCAAAGTTACAAAATGATCAATTCCACCACTACACAGCCTCCAGAGGAGTCCTGCTCCCGGAACATCCTCATCACTCAGCAGATCATTCCTGTGCTGTACTTTGTGGTCTTCATCGCAGGGACCCTGATCAATGGTGTATCTGGATGGATATTCTTCTACGTGGCCAGCTCCAAGAGTTTCATCGTCTATCTCAAGAACATTGTCGTTGCTGACTTTCTGATGAGCCTGACCTTCCCCTTCAAGATCCTTGCCGATTCAGGGCTAGGGCCCTGGCAGATAAATGTGTTTGTGTGCAGGGTGTCTGCTGTGCTCTTCTATGTCAATATGTATGTCAGCATCGTGTTCTTTGGGCTCATCAGCTTTGACAGATACTATAAAATTGTAAAGCCTCTTTCGACTTCTTTCATCCATTCAGTAAATTACAGCAAACTCCTGTCAGTGGTGGTCTGGATGCTCATGCTCCTTCTGGCCGTCCCCAACATTATCCTGACCAACCAGAAGGCTACTAACGGGAAGGTGACGCATATAAAATGTGTGAAACTTAAAAATGAACTGGGACTTAAGTGGCACAAAGCATCAAACTACATCTTTGTGGGCATCTTCTGGATTGTGTTTTTTCTGTTGATCATTTTCTATACTGCTATCACGAGGAAAATCTTCAAGTCCCACCTTAAGTCCAGAAGGAATTCCATTTCGGTCAAGAAGAAATCTAGCCGCAATATATTCAGCATCATGTTTGTGTTTTTTGTCTGTTTTGTACCTTACCACATTGCCAGAATTCCCTATACGCAGAGCCAAACAGAAGCTCATTACAGCTGCCAGTCTAAAGAAATTTTGCTCTATGTAAAAGAATTCACTCTGCTACTGTCAGCTGCAAACGTATGCCTAGATCCTATTATTTATTTCTTTCTATGCCAGCCATTTAGAGAAATCTTATGTAAGAAACTGCACATCCCATTAAAAACTCAGCATGACTCAGAAACTTCCAAAACCAAAAGAGGAAATACAACGCATGAAAGCACAGACACTCTGTGAATTCCCACCTCCTTTCAAACAAAATCCATGTACACATATTGCAATCTTCAGTTACATAAGACTAAATAAGAAACATGTCCATGCTAATAAGTATAATCTCTAGGCATTACAATCCAATTTAGTATAATAATAAAAACAAAATATAAGTTTCCCTGCTTTTTTATAACATCAGAGAAAAAAGTAACACATGCATTACTCCATTTTATTCCTTCGAAGCAGAAGATTTAAATCACTAGCCTGGTCAGTTAATGTAGAAATTTAAATAGCATAAAGAAAATAGGAAGCAATCAAGGCAATTCACTGGGGTGTCTTCCTTCTCTAAATACAAGGATTAAGTTATGTGGTTTTTTATGTTTTATATGGAGACTTATTAAGCCACTAAATGAGCCTGGAGCTCTGGTGTTAAAATATTTTTAAGTGGACTCTATTGAAGGAAGCTGGATATTGGGAAGCGTTGCCGGCAACTTCCCCTGGTTCAATGGCACTGGGAAAAAAACACGCTGACTGGGACAAAGACAAAAACATACACACATACACTGCGTGTACATACATACATCTAGGGGCAGAGGAAGGAGTTTTCTTAGAAAGCAAGAGGACTTGGAAAAAAGGAAAATCTAAGATTTACAATTATGAGTGAAAAATTACACATAAAGTGAAAATCTACATATCACATTTTCTGAAAAAGCAGATGAACTTAAAATGTGCAGATATGGGATATGGTTGCTGGCTTGTGAGTTATCAAAACTATTTCTCTGCTATTAACTGGCTAGAAGATATCTAGGCCATCTTCCAAATGTTCTTCTCAAACTATTTGTAAGTCATGTGCATATACTTTTTTCCCTTACTACATATATATATATATATATATAATAATAACATATAGTAAAAAAATTATTTTCAATAGTGTTCAGTTTTTCTTTCTTAAAAATCAAGGTAGGTGGGGCACCTGGGTGGCTCAGTTGGTTAGGCATCTGCCTTCGACTCAGGTCATGATCCCAGGGTCCTAGGATCGAGCCCCATATCTGGCTCCCTGCTCAGTGGGGAGTCTGCTTCTCCCTCTCCACCTGCCCCTCACCCTGCTTGTGCTTTCTCTCTTTCTCTCAAATACATAAACAAAATCCTAAAAAAAAAAAAAAAAAAAACTTAAAAAAAAATCAAGGTTGGAAAAAATAATGCCAATATTCTTCATAGTCATGACATGGGTGGTCTCTTTAGTAGGCTAATTATGCATAAAGGAAGGAAGACAGTTACCTAGTGTATTCAAAATTTTTATTTGCCGCAGACTTTCCAAAATAAGTACTTCATATGCTCTGGGACCTCATCAGATTTTAGGAAAAACTCGGAAAATACACCTTAAATTGAAGAAGAGCTGGGAAGGTATTTACTCTCTGTGTCCACCTTCCACCCTCGTAAAAACTCCCTGCTCCCAACTCTGGGTCAAATTATCCTCTCTCAAAAAGAAACAAATCACCAACCTATGACAAATACGCTTGGCAAAACTAAGCTTGCCATATATGTTTGGTTAAATACATCTGCAAAAGAAATTGGCTGTGCTTATTCTTCACAATTCCCACTGGCCAGGACAAATGAGTAAATACTGGTGTTTTACATGCCCCCTCCCCACCCCGGGAGAAAATGAAAGTTATAAAGAAAATGAGGAGCACCAAATAATGTCTTTGTAACCACTGTGCTAAAGCAGATGGGTAATGTGGAAATCAAGATTTTTCAGGAAGCAACATGCAAGCCAGGTAAGAATACTGTAAAGCAACAACTGATTAACAGTTACTGCATATCAGGTCCAGAACTACAACAAAAAATATAGTAGAGCAATGGCAACAGTGGACCAATCCAGAAACTTCCCTGAGATTACCAGTACTATTTTTTTTAATTGTTATGGACTAATTTCTGTAGCTAGTTTATAGTACAGTTTTATAATATATATTTATCTCTGAGATAGTAAAATAACACTTAATCATATTGTAGAAGCAGTGCTATGAAACAGTTGTAAGTATTTTAAAAAGTGACATAGGGGAAAGGAAAGCCACATGTTGTTAAAGTGGTTCTTCTGTGGGGATGTCCTGTCATGAAAAGATAATTTGCATGCCATTGGTATCTTGCAGAGAACTGGTGAGCAAAAGGCAGTAACAGCTCTTTACCGTTGAAGACCAACCACACCACACCAGTTCTCTCCCAACCCCTCCCCACGCAAACCTCACAGTGCGGTTTACCCAAAAGGAAACCTCCTATCACTCTGGGGGGATGACCTGATGTCAGTTATTTTTTGTATTAATAAAGATACTTTTTTTTCTTCTTCTTCTTCTTGTCCAGAGTCAAAAGATATAAATAGCAGCAATGGGGTTAACGACAGAATAGAAAGCTAATGGCATAGACTTTACTAACATCATCAACTAGAAACAAAACTTAGTATAAGGGTGTTTTCTAGATTTCTGGGTTAATCTTCTAGGTAAACTCAATGGATCAGAATTGTTTAATTTGTAGGTGACCAAAAAAATACAACTAAAATTGGACTCCTGCAATAAAAAGAGATTTACTGGCTAATAGACCTAAACGTTCAAAGTTGTGGGTATGGCTTAATTTAAGGGCTGACAGAGGGCCTCAGCTGATGTAACTAAAGCTGGGTTTATACCATTTTTGCAGCCACCTTCCACGGTATTAGTTTCAACTCAAAGGAAGCTGTGAGCTCTTCTTTTGTGGTAGCAAAATGAAAGAAGCACTTCTAGACCTTAAATATTCACAGCCAGTCCTCCAGAGAATTTCTTCAGAAACCTGGGACTTGGCTCTCATTGGGTCATACTGGCTCATTTTCCATCCCAACCTGTGGCCAGTGGAATCAGACATGCTGGTCAATTATGGCTGGACCCTGATATTAGAGGCAGAGTGGGCACTGTGATAGGCCCAGGGACAAGAACCAGAGAAAGTGAATTTCTCAAAGGAAAAGTGTCATTTTTACTGGTGGGGAAATAGAGTCTGGAGGCTGAGGAGATAACCAGCAGATGAGTACCACTGGCAGTAGGCAGCCTTTTTATAAACAACCATTGTGAGATTCATGCATCTCAGTGGGCAGGTTTCATGTGTAATCTTAGATGATTATGATCTTTGTTTCTTGATTCTTATCACAAATATTTCTTTTATTTAAAAAAAAAAACTTCAGAATATTTCCATATAGGTACTGAGTCAATTACACATATCAAAATGGAATCATGGTTCGGTTAAAATGTACGAATTCCTATCAATGGGGGATTTTTAGTCATAGTCAAGAGCCACTTTTGCACACCTTTCTGTTAGATTTCTGCAGTCCACATGCTGCAAAGCAGCTACTGGCTTATCAACTTCTAGCCACAGAAGTTTTTTTTTTTTTTAATTACTGCCCCAACAAATAAAAACATGGGGAAACAGTTGGCTGCAGCTAAGGGCCTGCTGGCCTCTCCTGGTGAGGCAGAAGCTCTCAACTCACTATCATTCCCAGCTTCCCTTGTTTTCTATTGTTTCTTACAACAATGTGCATCATGCCTTCTTTTCTATCATAAGCACCTGTGTTTATAAGCCACCCCGGGCACCCTGAGCACTTGAGGACTTGCACTACAGCTTTCTCTACAGAAGGACCTGGAAAATGTTCCCTGTTAACCAGGTACACTCCAAAGCAGTTTCAGGGCTGGCAGAAAATATAAGAAGCTACGCCATTTTTATCTCTCCCACCTGCAACAGAAGTTGGAGTACAAGCATGAAAAGAGTTATTATAAAAAACAGGCCCATCTCAACAACAATAAAATATATGAAAAGTATTTTCATTGACAATGACTACTTGCTACTTTTTGAATGTGCTCATTGTGTCAATCTGACTTCTCTCTTGGTCACAGTTAAGATCTCCGTGACCCATCTCAACCCACTTCCCAAACATTACCTTCAGTGCTTTGGGGAACTGAAATACAAGACTCTGGACTCAGAGTCATCTTGCTCTACTTCCAACCTCCAGATGTCACCAGCTCCAAACCACATTGTGTCAGTATGTCAGGCGAAGGCCAGAGTTAACACTAATTCCTGCTTCCCTCACAAATCCCAGGTCACTGGTATAACTGCTAAATCCTCCTCCAAAGTGCATGATAAAGTCCTAAGGGCTTACTTTCCTATCATTTCATCTCCTGACACAGAAGTCCACTGAAATGTGGCTCTCATCATCTCCATACAATACTTCACACTACTTAATATGATAATCCCTTTTCTAAACTAAAAGATTCTCTACATTTAACCAGGAGCTTTTTCAAGCTGTTAATTATTTACATTCTACTTTTTTACACCATAGCTTTCTGAAGGAACACTAGATCTCTCTGATATTTACTGACTAAAATGAGAAGTTAATCCTCATTTTGTTTGTAAACTAACCACCAATGTCAACTCCATATTAAATTCACTTTTCTAGTTTAAAAAAAAAAAATGCCACTATTAAAAAAATAAATAAAAAACTTGCAATGCCATGACCAAATGTATTTTCTTATCTGGGTGATACTATGAAAGTAGTTAGGTAAATAAAAACGAAAATGTTATTTTTTAATAGGAAAACGAGGACTTCTATCAATGCTATTTAAAATAAGAGTTCCTTAAGTGTTTAAAAAGTTACATTCAGAATGTCCTCGTTATTGCAGCTAAAAAAATCATCAACAAAACCAAAGGCAATCTACTGAATGGGAGAAGATATTTGCAAACAATATATCCAAAAAGGAATTAGTATCCAAAATATATAAAGAGCTTATAAAACTTTACACTAGAAAAATAATATGATCAAAAAATGGAGGACTGAATAGACATTTTTCCCAAAACAGCCTATAAATGGCCAACAGACTCATGCTCAACATCACTCATCATCAGGGAAATGCAAATCAAAACCACAATAACATATCACCCCATACCTGTCAGAATGGCTAGTGTCAAAAAGACAAGAAATAACAAGTGTTGGCAAAGACGTAGAGAAAAAGGAACCCTTGTGCACTGTTAGTGGCAATGTTAATTGGTGCAGCCAAACTGCAGAAAACAGTATGGAATTTCCTTAAAAAATTAAAAATAG